TTCCGGCGGCGAGCGATCGCTGGGCTCTGAGAGCAGGGCTCCCAGAGACTCCAATATCCCTTAATATACGTTAAATCATATTAAGGATCCTACTGGTACTATAATTTAAGGTATATCCCTGAATTAAGGAATATACCTTCAATCATATTAAGGAGCCTATTCTAATCTAAGGCATAAGGGATATTGGAGTCTCTGGGCTTTTGAGGGCTTCGAAGCCTTTTTTCAGAGTGGGGCATGTCAGGGGAGGCTGCATGGGGAATTGCCGAGGCTTAGGCCAATTTTGGGGCTCAAAGGGGGGGTGGGGGGGAGAAGGGTTAAGGGTTAAGAGGATCAAGGGTTTAGGGCTTGTTTTTCAAGATTTGGGAGCTTCGTAGCTTTGTTCAGCCGTCCCACAAGACGACAGCGAGCACTCAAGGAGGAAAGGTCCATGAGTACCAGGAGGCGCGAGGATAGGAGCAATTTCTGCCAAGAATTCCTTTGTTCCAGATCTGCTGTGGTTGGCAGTTTAGCTCTTGGGCCTTGGGATCTCAAGCAGGAAGCAGGATGCTTCGTTCATGTATAATTAACCTAAAAGATTGAATAACTACAATACTTTGTTGGGGTTCCTTGTTGGAACTACAGCATAACATACCCCAAAACAGCATTGAAATTGATGAGGCCCGTCTATTATGCTGCTTTGGGCAAAATACTCTAAACACCCTAAGCCTCGGGCCCCTGCATGAGGTTTGGGGTTTCGGATTTCTGGTGGGATCTATAAGGGTACTATATCTGAGTCTAGGGTTTAGGGTTCATAGGGTTTTAGGGCTTAGGGGTTTAGGGTTTAGGGTCCTGGCTTTCATAAGCTTGTGGTGCAAACCTGCACAGCCCTATCCCTTGGCCCTGAGCCCCGCACTAGCCCAAATCGCGAGAATCAGCCTACATCCTGCGCTTGAAGGAAATTTTTCTACCTTGGAATGGTTTTAATCGTAGTTATAATTCTACGCCATTCCTCCATTCCCTACTAACCAAAGGTAGAGATCCCTGTCAAGGAACCCTAGACCCCTATAGATCCCTTTAAAGGAACCCTATAGATCCCTTTAAAGGAGCACTATTCCCCACTAACCAAAGGTAATCCAAGGGTACAAGGAGGGACCCCTGCCATTGACCCTGACAGCCCTAGTCCCCAGCCCTGGCTGCCCCTGAAGGATGGCCTCCATGTCTCTTCTGTTCGCCCTCCACTCGTACGCACCTTAGGTTAGAAGCTGCCCCCACCCTGTAATAGTCTATAAGGATTATATTAGGGCCCTAATTATTATATTCCTATTATACCACTATTACAGGGTGGGGGCCCCTTCTAAACCTTAGGGTTTAATATAGGTTGATGTCTGGGTTCTCATAGGTTTAAGGTTTGGTTCTTCTGGGGGATGCGTGCGAGCGATGTCGCGCTCATAAATTCTGTCTAGCAAACTACAGCTCAAACAGCTGTGGGAAAGCGGTTTAAGCTTTAGGGGTAGTAGTATTCCCATGTCGTCCTTGGTCATGTCTACCAGAGAATGCCATTGAGGCTCAGAAAAACCCTCCAACTCCCTATAGAAACCCGAAGCGGCACTGCTATTCTAATATAGTACCCTAAATAGTAGGATCCTTATTATAAGGTCCCCATAATAAGGTACTCTAATTTTCGGAAACTCCCATATATAGGTATTACGGCACCCGCCCCAAAGGGCCGACATAAATTTCGACAGGGTTGCAGGGTTTCGGGTTAGGCTTTCGTTCGAGGAGGTTGAGTGCTAAACATGCGGTGTCATGTGGAGTGGATGTCAAAATTATGGTCCCTATTTGGGTACCTATTATCATAAGGCACCTATTATTTAGGGTACCCAAAAAGGGACCTCAATTTTGACAACTACCCATGTGGAGTGGTGCTTAAAGTTTTCTGAAGTCTTCTGCCTCCAGTTCCCCCAGACTGCAGGGATGCACGGTTTCGCGTTCACTGTCTGGGTATTTATAGTTTCGGTAGGGTTTCTATGGATTGGGGATAGAGGTTTACCTTAACCCCACGTGACCTACCTTTTCAGGGATTTATATAAAGAAATCATATTAGGGGGGCCCTAAAAAGGGAAGATGAGTATGGAAAGTAGCCCCCTACCATAGGCGTCCATAGACCCCTATACAGACCATTATGCTTTTCCTATAGACCCCTATGCGCCCGACCCCTCCCGCGGCCACAAACCCCTACAGATAGACCCTATGCATTTTCCGATAGGCCCCCACTGATAGACCCCTACGGGAATTCGTACAGACCCCTATAGATAGGCCCTATCTCTACTTAGGCTAGCCCCCTATGCAGCATAGGCCCCTATCGATTTTCCATAGCCCCCTATCCCGATCGCGATAGGGCCTATCTCTCAAGCAATAGGCCCCTATGCCTTTCCTTGTCCTGTTTGAAGCACTTTTGACTTGTGCAGTAGCCACGACCTACTAGCTTTTGTGCACGGCTTTCTCGCAGCTAGGAGCCTCCATCTCATGCAGCCACTGGAGTAGCAGAGCATGCGGGAATGTGAAGGAAGTAGGGTTTGCCGAAGCAGGGTTCAGAAGCCTGATACCCAAACCTTTGCACGGTTCTTCCACAAACCCTACTTCTTTGCCCTGTCCAAGCGCGGAACAAAACCTTCGAATGATTTGACATATGACCCTTGAACGGTTCTTCCACAAACCCTACTTCTTTGCCCTGTCCAAGCGCGGAACAAAACCTGCGAATGATTTGACATATGACCTCGTTGCGCAGCTGTCCGTGAGTGCGCATGGACATTATCACTCGCTACATTCGCATGTTTTGCTAATGATAACGGTTCATCATATATTAAACACGGCCCCTCAATGCGGCCCCTCATGTGGCGATTCCGGTTCGCCATTTATCTTAATTACACACGCCGCCTCCTTACTTGGTGATTCCGGTTCATCAGATCTCTTGACCATGCCCCTTCATGTGGCGATAACGGCTCATCATATATCTTAAACACGCCCCCTCGTTTGGCGATAACAGGTCGTCGTATATTTTAAACACGCCCCCTCACGGGATGCCGGTTCATCATTTTTCTTAAACATGCCCCCACATTTGGCGACAACGGTCCACCACATACCTGAAACACGCCCCGTCATGTGGCGATTCCGGTTTACCATATATCTTAAGCACCCCTCATTTGGCGATGCCGGCTCTTCCTATATCACAAAAAGTGGCAGACCGACTGACCGACTGCCCGATCGACTGTCTGCATGGCGCTCGGTGCATGGATCAACCGACCGACCGACTGAGTGACAGACCGGCGTGCTCGTGTAGCGACCGACGGACCGACTGCAGAACGAGCCGTTCCTGTGAGTTTCGCTGTGCAGTTTTTGATTCATTGCTTCCTGCACTCGCTCCCTTATAAAGGGAGGGGCGGGTGTATAGACCCCTCTCGCAAAACGATAGGGGTCTATGCGCCTTATAGGGGTCTATCCCCCAGCCATATACCCCTATGTATAGACCCCTATCCCACCTGTGACACACCCCTGGCCATAGGTACCTATCCGATTCCCCATAAACCCCTATCGATAGGGGTCTCTGGCCTAGTGGGTAGGCCACTGGGAATAGGGGTCTATGCCTTTTCCGATAGACCCCTATGCGATAGGGGCCTATGCCTTTTCCGATAGGCGGCTAATTTCCAGACTTTTACTCTAAAAAGGTAGGTTCCTCAGGGTCCAGGTATATAGGTTAGCTTCATGAGGAACGCTGGTCCGCCTTGGCTCAGGTTCCGCCCGCCTCCATTCATGATCCTGGATGAGGTCGATGCACCGCCTTGAGCTCAACGGATCCCAAAGACTCCAATATCCCGTAATTAAGGAATATACCTTAGCTCATATTCGGGATCCTAATATGATTTACGGCATATTGCAATTAAGGGATATTGGAGTCTCTGGGAAGCAAGCATGTGGCCCTTGCTTTAGAGGCGAAGCATGCGGGACCTTGCCATCATCATTCATATGTATTTAACTGAACTCAAGAATGCCACAGCTCAACCATACATGGAGGCAGTATCAGAATATAAGGGCCATAATAATTACGTATACTATTCTGGGGCTTCCTGATTATAAGTATAGTATAAGGGGCCCCAAAGCCTTATTCTAAGGATTAAAGTCCCTGCAGTCTGTCAGTAGGTCCATGTCCCTGAATGTGGCCTTCGGCGCGAAGCTACTAGTAGAGCCAGAGTCTGGAGTCGAAATGCCTTGCCCGAATTCAGCACAGATCCTGAAAGGGCGGGCGCGTAATATAGGGGCCTTAACAATTAGAATAGGGTTTTGGGGCCCATTTCACTAATATAATTATGATAAGGAACCCCCGAACTCCCATTGGTAAGTTTTTAGGCTCCTAGAGTATAACTAATAAGACTTATGCATTTCCGACTCACAGTAAACTTTCAGGCTCGGGGTGACTGTCGCAAGCAGTACTGGCATTTGTGGCTGTTGTATCAGGCTCTTGGAATGATCTACTATAGGGGCCTAAACAGAGACCTATACTGTTTTGGGGGTTCCCTTATTGTAATTATAGTATAATGGGCCCCAAAGCTCTATGCTATTTATTAAGGGACCCTATATCATGGAACCCTGATTTAGGTCCCTTAGAGACCCGTTTAAAGGAGCCCTTTACAGGAGCCCTATTCTAATTATGAAGGCCCTTATAGACTTGACTGAAGCCTAGCTTCTGCATCCTTGGCCCCTAGAGCGCACCTGCCATTTCCCCGCGCCTCTACACCAAGAGCTGCAAACCCAAAGACTCCATGTACCCATAGTAGGTACTTCGGCCTCAACGGGGTTCCTATATAGGTACTTTATGGCCTAAGTAGCTACTATATGGGTACATGGAGCCTTTTGGAAAGTCAGGGAATGATGAGCCGTGATCTTTCTGTCATGCTAGTGTCAATTAATCTGCTGTCGTGAATATTTCTTCATCGCGAGGTAGGCTGAAAGCAGAGCGCATTTGCATGAGGTTCGACAAGAAGAACACTGGCTCCCTGGTGTCATACCTGAAGCGGTTGTCCTTCCAGTGCATCGTCATCTCCCTCAAGGACTCTTCCCGTCCATATCTGATGTTTATCGAAACAGCGTTAGGCGGGGGCAGCATGCAGGATTGTTTCAACATGAGCACCAGAACTCATGTGTTGTCAAATCTATGCTGGATACTTCGACATGTTGCGGCTACTTGCGTTCATGCCTTCTCCAGCCCTAGAAGATGGCAGCTAGACAAAACATGCCTTCGGTTCCCCACGGTTTCTGCTTGATCCCTCCGAAGCCTAAACCCTGAGCCAGCCACCATCGACGGCAGGACACTTTTTTCTCGCACAGCGATTCCATTGTAGGCGTCTACAAGGCTCGGGCTCCGCAGCGCATCCGGGTCACCGCCCTTAGGATCCAACGGATCCAATAATTAGGCACTGGGCTGACATTGAGTGGAGCAGCTAGGCGCTTCAGGCTTTCATGCCTCAGTTAAGTTCGGTTGTTCTTAAGGTGCACAGTGGACCGAAAGCCTCAAATGCTAAACGGGGCGCTGCGACTCGTTTTTCGAGCCTGGGCCGGACGCACCCGAGAAGGTCCCGATTCAGCGGCTTCTTACCATACCACACTATAGATATGTAGCCCCAAGGGTCCATGTACTGATATAGCATATAAATACTTGGGCTCCAAAGTACCTAAATAGGGAGTACATCAAAGCCAGTCTATACACTATATGAGTACATGGACCCTCAGCGTAAGTGCTTATACAGCGCGGGCATAAATCTGCATAATTATTAGCACGCGCATATGCATATACAGGTACTGAACTTGAGAGTTCATGCAAGGGCTTCTTCATTGAAAAGATGTATCCCTTGCACCAACCCCAGGATCTTCTTCCAAAGCCAAGCTTCGCCCCACGCCATTTTGTAGACTACAGGCAGCTGTATGTTTCTTACCCTGCTTGCTGCCGCCAAACCTATTTTCAATAACAACGAGAAACATCACAACCTTCTCAAACAACAAACCATGTCCTAACACCGAAATCCCAAACATGAGTCTTGAGCCCTTGACCCGACACTGTTTACCTGCTCGATGCTTCATGGGCTGTCGTTCGTGACCTTACAACTCTGGTAGCTACATTTAACAAAAGTTTCGGGTACGGCAAGTCTGAGCCTGCAAGGAAGCCCGATCTCGTCCCAAAGTCCTAAACCCTAAACACCTAAAACTTTAAACCCTAAACCCTAAGCATCTAAACCCTAAACCCCTAAACACCTAAACCCTGAATCCCAGACCCTAAACCCTAAATCCCTAAACCCTAAAACCCTAAACCCCTAAACCCAGCAGTCTCGGGGTCAGGATAAAGCCAAGCAGACCTCGGGTATTCTTAGCCTGTCGCTCGCACGGCTGGGCCGGGAACCCAAGGAAAAGCTTCATGTTCCGGCTTAGGATTTAGGGATTTAGGGTTTCGGGTTTAGGGAGCGGCTGAGGATCCAAGACGTTCACTGTTGTAGTGCCTCGTGCATGACCATTCCTAGGTAGGGCATTGGGGCATTTTATAGTTTCCCTGATTGGGCCTAAGAGGATCTTTTTTACTAATATTTTTCAATCGCTTTAGAAGCCCCACCTAGATTCAGGTTTTGAACCCCAGTAGGATGAAATGCTAAAGGCTACCCAGAAGGATCCTCGCAGTCCTAGTCAACGTAAGAAGTCGAGTCTGTCGTCGTAGTCGTAGTTAGAAGAATTCGTCACAGCAGCAGGAGCAGGAGCAAATGCAACAGGATTCTTCGTCACCTCAGTAGCTGAGTGGATACACTTCGCACTTTTTGGGATAATATTATCCACTATAAAACTAAAAGTGTACACTTCTTGGGGCTTATGAACTCAGCAACTAAGTCACTCCAGCGATCGCACGGATACTGGGAATGAGAGCGTTGAGGAAAGCCACTCTCGCATGGATAGATGGCTTGCTCATGCTACCGTGTTTGGCATGTGTCATCAGCTTCTCTAGACCCTACATTAAAAGGGACCCTGATTTATGAATCCCGAAAGCCTCGGAACTTGTTTAGTCTTACCTTTGGTTAGTAGGGAATGAAGGAATGATAGTAATATATAGTATAATAGTACCCATTCCTTCATTCCCTACTAACCAAAGGTAAGTAGTTCCGCGGCCGTATAGACCTATGACCTGGGACCCCAGCCCCCTACCCCTAGAGTCCGAGATCCAGTCACCCTCAGAGAACTTCATGCTGCTTCTTCAGGAGCCCCTAGAATAAGGACAGTACTCTTATCTATTTGGGTGTTGAAATTACGGTGAAGTATTTCAATAGTTATTGTTTTCATAATAACAATCAGTACGACAATTCTCATTCTAAGTGCCCGGTTTGAGGCAAGCTGGCCGAAGGACCGGGTGCACAGGCTTCGGGTGAGGGGGTGATGAGTGGTTTAGGGGTTTGGGGTTTTAGGGTTGTAGGGGTTTAGGGTTAAGGGTTTAGGGTACCAAGGGCTACCTGGGGATCCAGAAACCTACTTTTTTCGGGGTTACTTATACCCCTCAATTAAGGGGTCATGGCCTACCATTTTCTTGGGTTTGGGGATAGAGTGTAAAGTGACGCCGGTTATACATTCTACGATAGACCATCAGTTGGCCATTCAAAGCAGGACTCTAACCCTTCATCCCCGATTCAGCTGCTCACACCGTTGAGGGACTAAGGGTGTGGGGTTGGGAATGATGAGATCTTGATGTGTGATGTCCTAGGCCAGGAACCTGGAATTTAGAGCCCGGTCTGCGGGAGCTCAGTCACGGAAGCTTTGGGTTTCAGGGCCTGGTGGTAAGAGCTGACCTCATAGCTCTCATGATCATATATATATATATATATATATATATATATATGATCCCGGTTCGGCCGGCCCCCCCCCCAATGGTTCCTCCTCCCCCCCTGTGGTGTGGTGTGGTTGTGGGTTGCTTCCCCCTCCCTGTGGTGTGGTGTGGTGTGGTTCGGGAGTGGGTCTGCTTAGGCTGGTTACCCCACTCCCCCCTGTGGTGTGGCGTGGTTTGGGTTTCCTGCGTGGGTCTGCTTGGCGTGTGAGCCCTCGTGTGAAATAAACTTGCCCCACTCCCCCCTGTGGTGTGGTGTGGTTTGGGTTTCCTGCGCGGGTCTGCTTGTCGTGTGAGCCCTCGTGTGGAAAAAGCTTGCACAGTTCGGCTTGGGGAGCGGGGGGGGGGATACCATTGGGGGGGGGGTCGGTGAACCGAGAACCGGGATCATATATCTATATATATATATATGTGTGTGTGTGTGCGTGCGCACACACCTGCTCACCTAGGTTTTAGTGAAACACTTCCAGGATTGAAGTTGCAGTCGCAGACGTGTTACATGCAGTTTAACAATCAGCTTGTCAACACTTTGGCAGCAGAAACAACAAACACTGCATGATTGATTGATGGCGGCATGTTGCACATCAAACTCAACAGTTGATGCATGCCTTGCGTGTACATAGCTTGGCTTTGAACTTCTTATAAGTTACCCTGAAACACGCTTGTCACAGCTGAATCGTCAAGAAAGTCGGAGTTGGTTTTGGGTGTGCAGATGTCGTTCAAATGGTAGTTTCTGAGAATTAGGGGTACCTTAACTTTGGGGTCCATATAATAGGGATCCTACCATTTAGGGTACTATATTAGGGTCCCCCATTTTCGGAAACAACCCTCCCAATAGGGATCCTACCATTTAGGGTACTATATTAGGGTCCCCCATTTTCGGAAACAGCCAAATGGACACTGGCGTTTTCTCCTTCGGTCTGAGTCTTGGCTGAGCCGGCGAGCTCGGTGGCAGGGACAACGACGAAGACGGCTGCCCCGCCGGCACAAGCCAAAAGGAGAGCAGCTAAGAAGAAGGACAACGCAGGGAAGAGAGGTGGCACCAGCAGTGTTGTCAGCAAAGTCACCAACAAATTCATGCAGGAGCTGCAAAAGAAGGACACGATCAAAGGAAACCTCCCGGCCCTGCACACATCATCATTGCGCTCGGACAGCACCGTGAGCAGGAGCGCGAATGGTGCGACGAGGACCTGATGTGAGCAGTCCAACGAAGAGAGAGGTGTCCGTGGTGGCGCTGATACCGGCGATTTCAACGGCATCTTCTCTGCATGCTCGGATCACAGCGCTGGGAGCACAAGTGGTGCCCAACCGTGAGCAAGCAGGAACAACTCTCCTCGGGGGCAGGCCGCTGGTGGCCAAATCGGACAAGCGTTCGTGACCATCCATTTCTCCCCTAAGATTGCTGCCACGTTAGGTGTTCAGGGTCCTGGTCCGGTGCTGGGAGGGTTTGGTCTTTCCTAGATCCTCCCGGGGGGCCCTATACAAAAGTAGATCCCTTAATCGGGGTTCATATAAAGTGCCCTTAGTAGTATAGTATATATACTACTAAGGGTACTTTATAGGAACCCCATTAAGGGATCTACTTTTTGGATCCTCCCCGGGGTCTTGGTTTCCTGACTTCAAAGGGTGCAGAAAGCCTTAAACCCCGGACCCATCCGCCGTGAACTTCGAACGGTTCACCTTTAGGCTTAGGTTTTGGGGGTTTCTGGCTCCTTTAAAGGGATCTATCAGAGTACTAAAATGGAGTTGAGGATTTTGGTTTAAAGGTTGTTTAGGGTTTAGGGGTTCAGGGCTTTAGGGTGTAGGGCTTGGTTACAAGCCCGAAACCCCGTGAACCCTGCGCACGTCCCAACAGCTTTAAGCTCCCCCTCTCTAGCGCCCAACTCCATGTCTGACCCAAACGAAATCAAGAGGGTTTAGGGTTTACAGTAGAGCCAGCGTATTATGGTTGGTTAACACTTCCCCCGCCTAGTTCCCTTACGTATATACTAAAAGAATACTTTCCCCAAAGCCTGATTCTAATCGTTGAGGCCCAGATACAGTAGACCCCGTAAAGTTGGAAACCGGATTAAGGCCAAATAGGGCTGGGATTCCTTATACATTACTCTTAAGGATTGAGGCTATGGGGTTTCCAACTTTTGGGCTTCTACTGTAGGGCCTGTAAAACAAAGTTCTAGGCAGCAGGAACCCCGATCCTGACACCCTCCATCCATGCGGAGAATTACTAGGTAGGGCTTTGGGACATTTTATACTTTCCCTTATTGGGCTTAAGAGGATCTTATTGAATCTTATTTACTAATATTTTTCAAAGGCTTTAAAAGCCCCACCTAGATTAGAGCCTGTGGAGCAAGCTGTAGTGTTAGCTGTAATGTTGGGTTCACAATAAAGGCCAACTAAACAGAGAGAGCCCAGATCCAACATGGAATGAAGCCACCCCCCCCAACAGCCTGTAACAACTAAACCCTATGGACCAACCCTGGACCTTATACTTATAACCACCAACAATCAGCCCTGATACAGAAAAACCGCTAAGCACCGTCCTAAGCCCAAAGCTGTGCTCTAGGCGCCCCTGACTGACAGCTTTGCAGAGCGTTAGTGGGGCTCCGTCGGCTTGAATAGTCGGGTACGGTTTAGGGGCTTAGGGGTTTAGGGTTTAGTTTAGGGTTTCAGGGTTTTAGGAGTTTAGGGTTTAGGGGGTTTAGGGTTTTAGGGGTTTAGGGGTTTAGGGTTTTAGGGGTTTAGGGGTTTAGGGTTTTAGGGGTTTAGGGGTTTAGGGTTTAGGGGTTTCAGGGGCTCCCAGGGGTTTTTAACAAAGGCACAGGTCAGGGCCTGAGGGCGTCGAGGGGAAGTCTGCAGGTTTACATTCGTTTTGTGAAGTTTTTTGGCCCAGGGTTTAGGATTGAGGGTTTATGGGTTTAGGATTGAGGGTTTAGGGTTCAGGGTTTGGGATTTACGGTTTAGGGTTTCGGGGTTTGTTAAGGGCCACTGTAGGGCTCTTTTCAAGGATTCCTTTTGGGAGTGTCGGGTTCGGCAGGGTGTTCAGGAATCCCTTTCGGTAAATGATTAAGAGCGGAGGCCTGAGCCGCAAACTCGTCCCATCCCGACCCCAAATCGCAGCCCCCAGAGCTTTGGGTTTAGGGTTTATGTGAGTGGGTTTAGATTTTTCCGGGGCTGAGGCTCCCGGGATCCGGCCGTTCAGGCTTTGAGGTTATCGGGCGCGCGGTAGGCTTGGGGGCTACTGTAAGAGGTACGATAGAGAAGAGCCTGCAGATCTAGCAATACGATGCCCCCGAGGCTTCTTTAGTATGCTCCAAACTTCAGGGCCCACAATCCTGTTCTGGAAAATAATCCTACCTGAGGGGGTACTTAGAAATAGTTTTTAATTTTTGGTTATTATAATCATTAAGCAACGCTAATATTTCTACCTATTCTGGGGTTTGTAACTCTGCAGAAATGACCCTGGCCTTTCAGCAAATTCAGGTTCCGGGCTGGTTACCGGCTGGTTTGGTTGAAGTTGTTTTTCTGTTGAGGCGGGGACTGGAGCGTGAGACTACTTAGAGGCCCAGGGGACTTAGTAAGTCGGTTATAAGTAGGGTTATAATTGGGGTAACCCCATTTAGGGTACTTATATCTCTACTTATAACCTACTTACTAAGTCCCCTGGGCCTCTAAGTAACCCTAATCCCCCTTATAGAACCCTTATAGATCCCTTTTTAAGGAGCCCTTTAAGGAACCCTACTACTTACTAAGTCCCCTGGGCCTCTAATTAAGTAGAATCTAGAAGATTGTGAACTTCGGGCTCCAGAAATATGAGGCTGTGACTCTCCGCCATCAGAAGACTGGAGGCTTAAGTAATAGGTAAGGCTCAAAATGGCCCAAAAGCTTTAAAGTATGAGTTTACAGAGCCTTAGGGATAAATAAGCAGATGCCATAGAGCCCTCGAGTGCACGAGACAATTCGACGGCCCGGAAGACCGGGTGCGTAGGGGATCTGCTATCTTCGCCAGGATTTGCGAGTCGTGGCTGGCTGCTCCCTAAGGTCCTAAGGTTTAGAGTGTAGAGCTTGACGACGCCTCGGACTAAAATACTCAATCCGGCCCTGATTGGGGCAAGGCCTTACCGTATTGGGGCCTACGTGAATATGGAGAGTTGAGTTGCGGAATGCACATATGAATTCGGATCTACATGCCAGACGCGGGAATGCATTAAATCAATAAGCAAGAACTGCTTGTCGAAGCTTATCATCAGCAGTTTGATTATAGAACATGCGCTTTGCCTTCGGACTGAAACGACTTCTTTGCATCGTCCATAGTCCATATCATGGTTGTCGCTGCAAGAATCTAAATCCCCTAGTGTATCTCCAAGATCGGACATGAAACCGTCGATATGCGGAAGTGTTCCTCCGCAAGCTACGCGTTCGTATTAAATCATAACGAAGCAGCATCAGCAGCAGCATCAGCAGCAGCATCAGCAGCAGCATCAGCAGCAGCATCAGCAGCAGCAGCAGCAGCAGGAGCAGGAGCAGGAGCAGGAGCAGGAGCAGGAGCAGGAGCAGGAGCAGGAGTAGTAGTAGTAGTAGTAGTAGTAGTAGTAGTAGTAGTAGTAGTAGTAGTAGTAGTAGTAGGTGTAGTAGCAGTAGTAGTAGTAGTAGTAGTAGTAGTAGTAGTAGTAGCAGTAGCAGTAGCAGTAGCAGTAGCAGTAGCAGTAGCAGTAGCAGTAGCAGTAGTAGCAGTAGCAGTAGCAGTAGCAGTAGTAGTAGCAGTAGCAGCAGTAGCAGTAGTAGCGTAGTAGTAGTAGTAGTAGTAGTAGTAGAAGTAGAAGTACTAGCAGTAGCAGTAGCAGTGGCTGTGGCAGTGGCAGTAGTAGTAGTAGTACTACTACTACTACTACTACTACTACTACTACTACTACTACTACTACTACTACTACTAGTCGTCCTTATGGTTCCTTTAGTTTTTATGATTACATGATAATACAACCCGTTTTTTTGCATATTCTTCTATTCTAATTCTTACGGCCCTCGCTTGAACTCCTAGTCCCTGAACTTTCAACCCTTAACCCTAGCCGTAGCCCGACATCCTTGGCATAAGCTGTCACACAAACATCTGTTCTGACAAAGCCCTGCAATCGCGGTGCGGCCAGCCGCTCGTTCGTCAAGGTGAAGTCACGTCAAGGGAAATATCCGCGGCTTTTACGGTGCTTGGGGTTTCAATTACAGGTTTGCATGGTTGATATGGCTCCGTGGTTTAATGAGCTGCTTCTTGGGGTCTGGGCTTCAGTTTGGACCTTCACCTTCGGGCAAGGTTGCTCAGGTCCACCCAAAGCCAGACAAGTGTCGGTCCGACTGAGAGCCCAGAAATCGTGCATGATTTTTTGTCACGATCTACCGCTAAGCATACGACATGCGTTTGCATACCAATTTGCTGCATATTTGTATATTCGTATTTATGTCCTTCTATCAGGCTGCTCGATAACAAAGGCTGGCAAAACGTGCCTTGGATATACCGTGTTTGTGTCCTGACAGCTCGCAAACGCAACGTCAGGGTTGTGTGCTTTTGACAGGCAACGCGGCTGTTGAGGCGGGTTTCAATTTCCACCCGTCTATCCGCGACGTGCTCCTGCTCCCCTTGCGCAGGGGAGCTTATGTTGTTTTGCATCAGGGGGCGGCAACAGCCAAAACTGCACGACTTGGGTTTGGAAACAGCACACCTTGGACCCGTTGCCCTGCGAACCTTTGTTCATCTTCATCTTCTTCAGGCGCTGCTCCTTTGTCTGCAGCTTCCGCAGATCGTCGCCACCATTATCATCCAACTCCCCGCATGACGTTCCCGGAGGAAAACACAAAGCTTTCCTAGAAAAACCCAGCGCCGAGCACACGAAGCTCTCTTAGAAAAAAATGCGAGCCCTGCAGATGGCGGTGGGCCCGAGGTGGGAGAGAAGCCTGACAAGTTCACCGTGCTCTCCTTAGGCCTTAGAAGCCTTCACCCAACTGCTGCTCTCATTTGTTGCTTCCTGCCGGAGCTAAACCCCAGGAGGTCATGACAATGACGGATATAAATGCCTTCAATCTGAGTGCCGAGGACAGGAGTTTTTGAAACATGTGGACTTTGTTTTTGGCTACGGCTTTTGAAGTTGTCATCTTGATGTAAATGATGGCGGTGACAACATGATGGTGATGGTACAGGTGATCACGAGGATGATGTTGCCCATGATGATTACTGCGACTGTGATCATAATGGTGATGGCGATGGTGATTGAAGGCTCAGACTTTGACTCTTTCTCAAGGTGTAGCAAGTCATAGTCATAAGCAAAATGAATCCTCGCAGCCGTGGAAAAGGTTGCCAACACATCCCGAATCCTGGGTTGCAATGTCCAGACACCGAAAACAACGAAAAGTGACCCAGGCGTCTTTAACGTTCTACGGCAGGGATCTTTGGATGTTTTGCCAGCTGTGCAGTTTAATCGTGCCACAAGATCCACAGATTCCGAGACTGTTGTATGACTTAGGGAAGTATCCCCCCATAACAGTACATAGGACCCTTTGGGACCGGAAACGCCAAAGTTCCGTAATTTTCACGCCGCCAGCAGAGACCGACCTTGGTAACGCTAGAACCCCTACAAACGTCCGCTCTACCCAGAGACTCCAAGATCCCTTTATTAACGAATATTCCTTCCTTGAATCATACTAGGGATCCGACTATAATTTAAGGAATATTCCCTAATTAAAGGATATTGGAGTCTCTGGGTAGGTCAGCCTGTAGGTTCACTCCATGCCTGGAGGCCTACAATATCCTACAATAAAACAAGTTCTGCCCATCCGAAGCTTAGTACAATCTTGCAGAGGCTTGCCTGGCTTTGTTGTTGTGACTGATGGTTGCTGGTTGGTTGAGTTTTACATCGCCGTGGTGCTTTTCATGGTGATTCTGTTTGTCACACGATGCTTACCTAGTTTCAGACTTTCAACATTGCAGGTGGGGTGTTTAATAGTCTAGGATGCCCAGTAGTACCCTTATTCCTTTTTATCAGTCCTAGGTTCCTTATAAAGTTACCCAATACCTAAGAGAGGCCTTTTTGTTCTTAGGTTGCTGGGTATCCTAGTAGTGGTGGGGAGCATTTTGACATGCTTTTCTTTTACACAGGATCTCTGGCTCGTGCAATGCAGCATTTCTGTATCAGTTTGACTTGAATATGACAATACAGGTTTTGTTCGGAAGGCACCAAGGATTGCGTTTAGGTTGGTATTAGGGGGTTGGATCTTAGTGCTGCTTCAACTTCCCTTGATGGGCTGGGGGTCTCACGGGCCCGCGCGTGTGAACATATCCGACTGGACGGAAGTAAATCAAAAGCTTTGGAACTTAATCATGCAAAAAGTATATCTAGTCTAGTCCAAGCACATGAGAACACCAACAACCCTTCCCTGAACCGTAAACCCACTTTCCGGATGAACCCATCGACTCTTTCGGGGATTGATACTTGTGGTAAAGGGGTTGCAGGGTATTTCTGGGATCCAAGCATCTTGGAGTATAGAGGCCTATCTAGCCATGTGTGCATATAAATATATGTACATTTGTACATAAAGACTAGGTATGTATCGTATGAGTACAGATATATGTAGCCTTAGAAACCTTCAAGAACAGATGTTGCAAAAGTTGCCTTAGAAAGCATTGTGAGGTACAAAGGTCATGACCACCAACTATTGTCCAAGGCTGTGGGCGAAGATATCGTCCCATCTCGATTCCATGAGATAACACAAAAGCCTGAATGATTGCACATGTTGTTCCTTACGGTCCCAGACATTTTATAAAATTATTTTCATATACCAACACATAAAGCCCCCTATAAGCCGTTCAAAGCTAGCCGGCAACGCGTGATGACTTCCGTTCATGCACGAGCACTGCCACATGCTGCCAAGGGAGAAATTATCCAAATTCCCAAAGTCCTCTTGCCCTAAACCCAGTCCCATTGTAACCTGCAAGTGCCAAGCCGGCAAATCCTAAAACTCGAATTCCCCAAAGCCCAAACCGTACCACCCTAAAATGTGAAGCTTTAAAACCCTGAAGCGACATGCTGCAACCTTGAACCCAAGTCTAAGCCCTGTACAAGTAAAACCGTTTCAGCTTTGAGCTTCATGCAGCCAATCGGGAGCCTACCACCCCTCCATGCGCGCTGAAAAAATGGCGGCCTGCGGCAGTTCCGTAGGGTTCGGCTGTGAAGACAACTCTACCACGCGCCCCGATGCAGACAAAACGGCACAGAAACTGATGTGGATGGTGCCATGAACATGCCGACCCGGTCTTTTGAGGTGCCTCAACCTCAGAAGTTCCTCGTCTCGTCAACATGTGACCCATCCCGAGCATTTTAAGATGTCTAGCTTTGCCTTGCCTCGCAGTCTGTATTGCATACACATGCATAGAAGCACTTATGGATCGCGCGGGCAAGGGTTCAGATCCCGATGCAGATGCCTGGTATCGGTGCAGTTGTTCTGGCATGTAGTACTACTACTTGTAGCAGTTACTAGCACAGCTGTAGCCCTAAGCTAACATTGCAAAACGCATGCGACTGTTCTGTACATCATCACCATATTCAATGCCCCATCATGATCCATTCCATCGGAGCTTGTTGCGAAGACTCGTCGATGAAGTGGCCCTTCCTGTTGAGGATTCTTGTCGGATTGTGGCTCTACTTGACGTGCCAGAAAGTAACGGTCAATGGTGATGAGTTGGCCCATTCGGACTCTCCAAATTGTGCATCGACCGCTGGTGGCTTACCAAGATGCATCTTAGATTGGTGAATCCCGACTGCGCGAAACCTGCGAAGCACAACACCCCAAACCGTCACTTCGCAATGCCTTTGCTCTTACATCCGCCATGCATTCAGCCTTCTACACCCTGAGCCCTAAAACCTAAACCCGAGAACTTAAACCCTAACCTCTCTAGACAGTAACATGTTGTTGGACACCGAGGCCCCATTCTGAAAGCCTCGATAGTTCCACGTCTCCCAGCACCGAGTCGTCCTTCATCCTATGATGGATGAAAAGAGCCACAAAGTATGTATAGGTTTAGGGTTTTTATGGTGTAATTGGTTTAGGGCTTATAGGGTTTAGGGTTTGTAGGGCTTTGGGTTTAGAGTTTGGGAATATAGGCCACTAGCCCTCAAGCTCTGAGGCGCTAAAGACCTTCTGCCCAAAGCATGGCAGAATGATGCTGCCTGGCCCTGCTGAGCACTTGGCCATGCAGGCATCTGCTCCGTGTGAGGTAGCCTCTACTCCGGAAGAAGTTGTGGGACGAAGCTAGGTTTCCGTTCCGGCGGCAAGCTCCGGGACAAGCCTTCATCCAATAGCCTCCACCGCAAACCCCAAGCCTTAAAACCAGTGCATTATCGTCTAATTATCGTGGGTTGTTTGCAGGCTGCCCCCATGGATCTGCGCGCCCTTCTAGCTGAGCTGCGAGCATCGGAGGAACGAGTTATTGTGGCTAACGAAGGGGATTGCGGGTCAGGGTCATGTACAGCCATTTGCAGAGTTACTATGCGGGCTATGTGGAGGCAGGGAGACAGGGGGGAGGAGGATCTTAGGTGTTCAGGACGATTCGCGGTTCGGCGGTTTCGGGCTGGAATCTAGGTTCCTGCCAAGAAATATGCAAAGTAATGGTGAGTACAGCAGTAGAAAGCGAGTTTGGATACATAACGGGGTTTCGGGCTGCATGCAGGAGTGACACTCATTGAGTCATTTGTGGATTATGTATCAGGTCGTTGCTTCTCGGTTTTAGGATGTGGGGCTCTGGTGCTCTTCACCATGTTTGATGTGCGACAATGCAGACCTTTCTTTTGAATGGCGGCCACATCTGAGCTCCTTTAGCCCCAGATGCATGCCATATTTCTCTAGCCCGGACATGCAAGCCTTCGCGCATTTGTGTTTCTCTGAGACCACACTTGTACCACCAGGCAGCAGTGCCTCCGTGGAAGGAAGCATGGCCGCACAAGGACCCGAAACATGCTGTGCGTCATTTGTTAGCATTATCTTTTGCCAGCATGTATATAAGTATGTATGCACGCAGGTATGTAAGTATGTATGTATGGCTAGTTATGATCATGTCTGTTTGTTTGTCTGCCTGCCTGCATGTATGCGTGCGTGCATGCATGCATGCATGCATGCATGCACACACACACACATATGTATATGTATATGTATGTATGTATGTATGTACGTACGTATGTATGTATGTACGGATGCAATAATACATACACATGCACACATATGTACGCATGCATGTTTCTCTTCGTCGGGCGGAGGAGGTTGGTACTGTTCCGGCGCGAGTTAGATGCTCCACTGTTGGTTAAGCATAACCGGCAGCTTCCACCTTGCATTCGAATCCTCTTTGCTGAGCTGAGCGGGTCGACCTGAAGCCAGGCCGACTCCCTGATAGAGTTATGTATATATATACATATATACATATACATATTGTAATATATACCCCAAAACTCCATTCCAACTAGTATGAAGCCCCTATACTGTGGAGTGCCCCCATCCACAGCCGACTCTGAACCCTATCCCAACCCTCGACGAACCAGAGCATCCTTCAGGAAATTCGTCCCGAAGCTGGAGGTTTGAGGTTTTATAGATCGACTCCCCAAAGCTTGAAATAGATTCAATAGAGCCAGTACCTTCAAAACCACGCCCAAGACTCGAACTGTTCTGTTCATTCAATCGGGGGAATCCTAGAAGCAGTGTAACTACATCATCGTAAGAAAACATGGGAAGATCCCTAAAACGAAACCCGGAAACCTTCAGAAGGGACGCTTAACTGAGGGTGTATCGTGGCCTGTTGGCAGGATGTTGCCGCCGTCTCTGCTGCAGACCTGCAGGAGCGGCTGGCACTGTTGGAAGAAAGGCTCGGGCTGCTTGTTTCTTTAACTAGGTGGCAATTTGGGAAACTTGTTCATTTCCCTTATGGTTCCTATAGAGGTACCTATTCATAAATACTTTTCAGAACCCCAAAACTACAACCCAGTTAATCAGATATTAGGGATTTGGTCGAGGCTTGTAGGTGCTGAAAGTTTTATAGGATTTTGGTTTTATGTTTAGGGCTTAGGGTTGAGGTTCGGGATGTAGGTTTGAGAGTTAATGGTGGGTTCAAGGTTCGCAAGATTGATTTTCAATCTTGCTCGCTTCGAACTGTTTAGGGGTGGCCTGGTTGATTTGTGGTTCAGCATTTGTACATGTCTACCTAAACCCTGAACCCTAAACTTCCCTAAACCCTGAACCCTAAACTTCCCTAAACCCTGAACCCTAAACTTCCCTAAACCCTGAACCCTAAACTTCCCTAAACCCTGAACCCTAAACTTCCCTAAACCCTGAACCCTAAACTTCCCTAAACCCTGAACCCTAAACTTCCCTAAACCCTGAACCCTGATAGCTTCTGCTTTTCAAAAAGAGCCGAACGCCCTGCAGGCATGCGGCGCTGATGGCTGCCGCTGCCGCAGAGATCGCCGAGCTCAGAAACCGCCTCCAGGAGGTCTCTGCTTTAGTTTAAGGGTTACATTTAGGGTTTTAGGGGTTGAGGATTTAGGGGTTTAGGGTTTAGGGGTTTAGGGTTATATAGGGTTTAGACTTATAGTACAGGGTAAATGAGAGGGGCTTAAAAGAAGTATCGATACTAGTTTGGAGCGGTTTCTTAGTAAAAAATAGTATACATATACCTCAACTTGTCAACACCTTGTTCTAATTTGTTCAGGCCCATGTAGTATGTACTTGAGCCTACCTTTTTCAGGGTTCCTTCTTATGGTTCAGTTAGGGTCTGGGTTTAGGGTTAAGGGCTCTATACCAGGGGATCCAAAGCCCTGCTTACTGCCTTAGGGGTTGTAAAGCATACTTGTTGCAGGATTTGGGGCTGCAGCGGCTACAGGTAAGGGTTGAAGCTTTCGCAAAACAAAGGTTACTAGAATGGTGCCTTCAAAGCAAGAGCTACTATGAGGCATCTCATTTAGTGTAAGTTTTACTGTAAAAAGGCTTCTATAGACTACAAGGTTTGCTACATAAGGGCCATGGTAGTGGCTTCTGTAACAACAGGGCACCGCCTTGAGTATAAATGTTACTGCCAGGGTTCGCGCAGGCGCTACAAAGAGGTTACGTTAAAGGCTACCTTGTGCAGGTTGCTATATAAGGTCAGCCTAAATGGCTACCTCACTGAAGTTTGCTAGAAACGGTCGCAGGAAAGGTTGCCATAAAGGCAACTTCCTATGAATTTGGCCGTCGACGTTGCTGTTAATTCAAGAGCGGGCCACTATCACGCTCCCACGGGTCAGGCTTGCCGGATTTTAAGGTTCAGGTTTCAGCTTCTTTAGCAGGTGTACTTGTGATGTTGTCTGTAACTGAACTTCCGGGTGTTCAACCGACTTGTGTCAGTATTTTTTGCTATGTCCTGGGGGTGTTGATGGTTGCGGAGGACTTGAGCCCTTCAAAAACATTCTTAGATTGTTGTTTTGCATGCAATCGGTTTTCGATGCAGGATATGCCAGCTTGAAGATGGGATTCGGAGGGTGTCAAAACGGCTCGCTGGGGTTTCCAAACGTTTCGGGGGTGGAGCGGCGGCGTCTTGAAGAGCTCGCCGGGTAAAAGAGGATGTCATACTGTTGATGATATAAATCCTGCACTACCTTAAGGGCGCTAAACTATGGGAATTATGGTATATTCCTTATTATGGGTAATGCAGGGTTTATATCAACAACCGTACGACGTCGTAGGGTTGAATCTGACTTTCTACATATTCATCATTTGCGTCGCATGTTCAGAGTGCGTCAGGTCGGCATGTAAATGTTCTTTTCAGGGGTCTCCAAAGACAGGGTCTAGCATGGGTGGCCACATACGTACGGAGGGGGATTATGAGGGGCTTAAGGCAAAAAGCTTCAGGGTGAGCCACGGCAGTCGATAGAAGTCGTACAAGGTTTCAGCACCGGAAACCCTCATCAGTGAAACTCCCCAAACTGCCTCAAGCCTCAAGCCCCTAAATCCCAAGGCCCTAAAGCCGGAACCCCCTGAAACCCAGAGTTTGCGCGTGTCCTCCCGAAAGGCACATGCCCAGCTAGCAGAGCAAGCCGTTCAGAAGCACCTCAGTGGCGAGGCCCTTCGGGGCTGCAGGGTTTAGGATTCCAGGGTGTTAACTTGCGCAATAGCTGGGTTTAAGGGAAGCAGAAGTGGTTCGACCCACCGAAATGGAAAGGTGGACACCAGAAGTGGTTGCAAACCTCCGCCCCGGGATCGAAACCACTTCTAAGGTGAAAACTAGGAAAATTGCAGCAATCGGGATAGGCTCCCGCAGGGGCCACTCTCGCGTTTTTTTTGAGTTTTGGCTATGCACACAACGAACGCAATACTGTGCAGTTTTATACTTGCCATTGGGGTAGGCCACCACCGGGTTTAGGGTTTAGGGGTTGCTTTTGAAAGTGTTTTAACCTCTGCACACAAGGAACAATTCTGCGTCTTTAGGCCGCCACGTGTACTTTCAAGTTTTGCACGTGGAAAACCATCCATAATAACATCTCATGAGTCAGAAACCAAACATTATCCAACCTGAATAATTTTGGCAAACAACGCATAGCTGGTCTTAAGTTAGTAGCTTTTTTTCTACTTAGTCATTCGGGATTTGGTCGGATCAAGTCGGTTCCGACCAACTTCCGAGTTGGTCGGATCCGACCAACTTTTTTTTTGTTTTTGCACGGGAGTTGGTCGGGAGTTGGTCGGATCCGACCAACTCCCGACCAACTTTTTTTTGGGCGGGGGAGTTGGTCGGGAGTTGGTCGGATCCGACCAACTCCCGACCAACTTTTTTTTGGGGGGGGAGTTGGTCGGGAGTTGGTCGGATCCGACCAACTGACGACCAACTCGGAAAAATAAGGAGCTCAGAAGTGGTTTTGTTTTAGGTTTTGTATTGTCAAACCACTTGTTGCGTCCTTAAATTTAGGGCTCAACCACTTCTGGGCTGGCTATTTTTCACCAAACCAGTTATAGATATCTTATTTCTAGGCCGCGACCACTTCTGTGATTCTTGTTTTCTAGGGTATTTTTCCAGTTGGTCGGATCCATTTTTCCGGAATGCACCACCAACAAAAAAATAACCAAACAGGAAAATCTACCTGATTTTTTCTGCTTTGCCAACCGGACGCTGAAAATCGAAACTCTCGACCAAGCGGCGCAACTGCCCGACCATATTCTCATTTTCCACATCAGCCACCGAAATCCTAACTCCCAGACTCCCAAGCGAATTGCTCAACCAACTTTGCCGATCCCAATCAGCAGCTGAGCATCTCAACCCACCTTGACCGTGTTGACTGGTCATGCCGTACCCCAAACCCTATCTCCCAAATCCCCATTCAAAGTAAACCCGACACCCTCAGCCTGACACCAGCTATTTCTAAGTCTTTTTGGTTTAGGATGTATACAACCACCTTAAGTTTAGGGATCTGGGCCTGATATGGGTGTTTTGCTATTGAGCTCTGAACCACAAATGACTCATACGAAACAATCGCCAGTCACTGCACAAGGCATTTGGGAACTTAAGGATTCGAGTTTTGTTTTCGGGCGGCCATACGCACGGAAAGACAAGTCACTGTGCTGTCTATACAAAGACATGATACTAATGATGCTTGCTATCCATGATAAAAGCCTCATCGAAAACATGCAATGGGCCCCTCAACTGTGTTTTCACCTCTGCTCAAAACATGATATCTGCAAGAAAAACGTTAAAACAGGCAAGGGGGTCTGACACGGTTGCAAAACGGTGCTTTGAAGGGGCAAAACCACTTCATCGTTCACTATTTTTTGGAAATCACTAAACCCAGGCATTGTGCAAGTTAACATTCCAGGGTTTGCTTCGAAATGATAGGGTTTGGGGACCCAAAAAGCACATAAGCATAAGCATTTTATGGGGATATCCCTACCTTATTGGGCTTCATTATAAGGGGGTTTATATGGGACATCCCTATCCTGAATTTTGCTTATGTGCTTCTATGGGGCCCTAAAGGTTAGCAAGATGGGCAGAGGACTTTGCTTAAGGTGTGTGAAGGTATGATGAGTACAAATGTGATGGCGATGATTCTGATATAGAAAAAGAGAAGGGCTTCTCCACGAGTGAATAAAAAACCCACCATCTATGAAATTCGTTGCTGTTACAACTTTGTACTTGCAGAGTACACCGCAGGAGGGGTAGGTAACCTCAAAAGTTCCTAAAAAACAGTTCACTGGCCGCCCGAACTCAGCAACTATTCCCCTAAACCCTATTCCCCTAAACCCTAAAACCCTAATCCCTCAGCCGCGTCTGCCTTGACCTGGAGAGGACGGCGTTGCGAAGGACATGTGCCTGCCGGCACCTGTTCAGGCGCACGGTGGTACGCAGAAAAGGGAACCCTAAGAGTCCATGGCTTAGGGTTTAGCGGTTAGGGTTTCTAGGACATATATGGTTTACGGTGAAGGGTTTCTGTATTCATATAGCATGTATTTGGGCTCCAAAAGGGAGTGCATTGAGGTATATATATATATATATATACCATTTGAGTACATGGACCCCCAGAGTAAGAAGCCCTAAATCCTAAAGGCCCCCTTGAGTCCGACAGCATTTGCAGCTCCACCCACAACCACCTAAGCGAGCAGAGCCTGCATGTAGATTAAGCCAATTTCTTCAGAGTTGCTGGGCCAATTCCCTAAGGGTCCATGTACTCATATAGTATATACATTGGCCTTAATGTAGTCCCTGTAGGGGTACTTTGGGGCTCATGTATCTCTATATGGGTACATGGACCCTTAGGGATTTGCAGGCTCTGATGCCTGCGCTATAGAGTTGGGCTTAGATCCATATGAGACACTGCGGTGGGTGTACTCGACATCTGGCCACTACTTGCGGGTCATCGACCACTAAGCCCCAAACCCCATGCCCCAAAACTTAATCTGAGTTCCAACCCCCCTTATCCTTACAGTAGCCCTTACGATAACGCTCATGCCTACCTCATCGTAATCTCATAACAAGAACGGGACCGTATAAAATTGTACAAAGCCCCCTGAAAGTTCTTTCAATGAGTAATAGTTACCCAGAGCTGTTGGAGGATCCAAAAAGTACATCCCTTAGTCAGGCTTCGTATATGCTACCCTCCATAGTAGAGGGTCCCCAGTAGGTGATCTGCTCTTTAGCTGTCTGATTCTTCGTAGGGAATGGGGGAATGGATCCCTATAACAGTCCCTTTACTTTAGGGTCCCTTATCGTAGTAGTCCCTATAACCCATTCCCCAATTCCCTACTAAGAACCAGACCTTTAGAGGGACCCTTAGAGTTGTTTTAGAGGGACCCTTAGAGTTGTTGGAGCTGTTGGGGTGGCTCTCAGAAGTCCAGGCTTCTCGATCCGAACGCGCCCTGCCTCAGCAGCTGCTCCTGAAATGGATGAGCCCCTTGAGTCGAATAGCTGTAGCCTTGGCTTACCTTTGGTTAGTAGGGAATGGAGGAACGGAGTACAATTATAACTACTGTAACTACCATTCTTCCATTCCCTACTAACCAAAGAATACCCAGACCCCCCTTGGAGGATCCAAAAAGGTAGGTCCCTTAATGGGGGTTCCTGGTACTTAGCAGTATAGGGCCTCAAATTAGGGGATCTACTTTCTAGATCCTCCCGGGGGTCTGGGTAGCTAGTCTTGGGGGTTTTAGGCTTCCGGGTTTTGGGGTTCAGGCTTTAGGGTTTTGGGGGAGCTTCAAGGCTCGACAGATTTCACAAAGTCTGGAATCCATAGGTCGTCAGACTAGGATGTAATGATGGCTGCAGGCAAGTTTAAGTTTGGGCTTGGGAGGAGTTCTGGCTTGCGATCGTGCTATGGTATCTTCGTGTGTTCGTATACCAGCAACGACTGCCGCACGCAAGAGTCTGAGGGCCAACAAACAGTAGAATCACTAGACTGCGTAGTCGTAATCGTGGCATCAGTTGCACGGATCTGCTGTCGTCAAGTTTTGGTCGTGATATTCAAGGCGATGTTTGGCGGCCGAAGGTTGAGGACCGCAGCGCACAGGGTCTGCAATCGTTGTGCGGATTCGCGGCATGGGAGTTCAGAGAAAGCCTATCTCGTCTTTAGAGCCAGGGCCCTGTTATGGTCTCTGTCCTGTAAAAACAAGCCGACTGCAGGACCCAACCCCCAAACCCTATACCCTAAACCCCGGTACTCTAAACCCTAAACCCTACAAACCCCTAAAGCCCTAAACCCTAAATCCCCAAGCCCCTAAACCCCTAAACCCTAAACCCCTGAACCCTAAACCCCTAGAGCCCTAAACCCTAAAGCCCTAAACCTTAAACATTAAACCTTGAGCTGACGATACAAGGCCTAGCCACGCCCTTGCGCGCCGTTTTCCGTGCTTGGGCCCGGCGAAGATCGCCGAGGTAGTGGTGCAATCGTCTCGGGTCTAGTGTGGCAGCGTCTAGGGCTTATGGATTCGGGTTTAGGGCTTAGGGATCAGGGTTTAGAGTGTTTAACTGTTTCATGAGTGTTTTTTTTTTTTTTCGGTTTTGTGGCTTCTGCAGTACTTCGGCTAGGCAGCTGAGACAGGATCAGTAGACAATACGGGAACCACAGGAACGTTATTTGAGGTTGGGGCATCTGTGCTTTTCATGGTCGTCATCAGGGGTTGGAAAACTTGCACACCTCAGCTCGGACCCACTGGCACCGCTAAACAGCGTCAACACCGTACCTTTTTACTTTCGTTTGCCGATGCAGTGTAAGTACCATCATCACGATAATCCGCATGATCATCATGCTTATCCGCATCAACATACAGGACAATCTCATCGCCACCGCAACTTGCATCATCAGCATCGACATCATTCTTCGTCATGGCCATGACTTGGTGGTCCTTTCTGAGTCTGAGTGGAAAACCTCATACGATACCCGGTAAGACCCTTGCCCAAGAGAGGGGGGGTGTTATTGATCAATGGTTTACATTGTAGCCCCAAAGCCCTTTGGTCGACTCTAAATCGTAACCCCTAGAGCTCAGAACACTGTGGCCTTCACCCTACGACCACAAGCCCTGAAGCCTAAAAGGTTCAGGGGTTTAGGCTTTAGGGCACAATGTTTAGATCAGCAAGGCCTGTAGCATAACCCTGAAACCTGAACCCAGCTATTGGCCTTCACAGGTATAGCCGGCTGGCTGCTGTATGGGCCGAAGGTTCTCTCACTGGAAGCGCTTCAAAGCGTCCTAGTTCTAGCCGTGATTAGAGTTTCAGGGTTTGGGCTCATACGAGTTTAGCCAGGATTCGGGGGCTTGTGCTTGATGCTTACAGGGCTTATGTTGGGTTAAGAGCTCAGGCTTTTTGAGCTTACATGGTGCTTGTTGGGCTTCAGGGTTTGATTCAGGGTGGGTCTTTGCGGAAGTTTGGCGTGCATGTAGAGATTACGGTTTCGGGTTACTTCTCCAACTTGGGCCCGTTTTGGATCCCTAAAAGAGCCCTGCCTAGGGACCGCCAGAAGGCACCAGGGTTTAGGGTTTGTCAGCCCCCCGGGAGGTCTGTCGCAGGGTGCAATTCGGCACGCCTGGCGCTGCTGGCAGCTGGCGCTGACAGAGGTTGGGGTGAGAGCGGAATGTAGGGGCCTTCATAATTAGAATAGGGTTTTGGGGGGGATGTTATACTATCATTATAATAAGGAACCCCCAGCACCGTATTCTAATTATTATCAATAAGGTGTTCGGGAACAGGGGTTCCTGGTTTGAGGGCTTTGCGTTTGGAGGCTTTTTGGTTTAAGGTTTCAGGAGGTTTTGTTTGGCTTTGGGGGCTTGAGGACTCTTGTGGACGTGGGCTTTAGGGCCAAGAATTGGGGGGACCAAGGTGGTGCGAAGCTCGAGGGTTTGAAGGCACTGCTAACCATAGCACAGCGATACGATAGCAAGCATAGTACTAGTAGCGAAATTTTAGTCTCATAGTCGTCAAGAATACGTGTAAGCAGCAGCCAGCAATAGGAGCAGCCGAAGCATCAGCGATTACATCCGCTGAAGCTCGTGGAGTAGATGTGCATGCCTCGAACACCTCTGTCAGCTGGAATTGCCTTTTGATTCTGCATTCGACACTGCAGGCAGGGTATGTAAGACCGTATAAGGGAGTTTCCAGAAAAAAGGGGGACACTAATATAGTACCCTACATAGTAGGATCCTCATGATAAGGAACCCAAGGAAGGTACCCCCAATTTTCGGAAACTCCCATATAGTTGGATCCGTTCGTCTTTGAGCTCGGCCGAAGGCTCCGATTCAGGGTAGGCAAGAACCCAGAGACTCCAATATCCCTTAGTTAAGGAATATACCTTAAATCAGATTAAGGATCCTACTATATTTTAAGGTATATTCCTTAATTAATGGATATTGGAGTCTCTGGGAACGGGCCAGAACCCCAAGAGTCCAAGTACCTTATATCCTCTCCAAAATATTAACTTACATAGCTACTATCCTAAACCCAAGTACCTGATTATTGGGTCCTTTGGACCCTTGGGAGGGTAGCTTGGATGGTGGATTCGGGGTATGTTTTTCTCAGAAGGTACCTGCCAAGGAACCACAAGTTCGAATGACATCGAATCAGGTGCGAGTATGTGCGGGTGAGAGTTCAGGGGCATCTGGTAGAGGGTAAGGATTTGGGCCTTCGCGTCATTGAATAGCCGCAAACCCTTCAACGGCCCAGAACCCTAAACCAGCCGTACACTTAAACCCAAGCTCCAGCACCCAAACCTCACGAACGGACAAGCTTGGTCTTGGTTGTTGAGGCAAAGAGCACAGCGGCGCTGGCAGAGAGGCACGGCACAGACGACGAAAATGATGTTGATGATATTGTCGTTGTTGCTGTTGTTGCTGCGGACGACGATGATGATGATGATGACCCCCGGCGGTAGTTGTGACGAAGATGATTTTGATGTCGCAATGTCGTTGGTGCTCGCTGAGCAACAGATATGTACGACGATTTGCGAGAAACACTATTGAACAAGTGAATCTTGGTTTCCAACATTCACGACTTCTGATGTTCAAATGCTGGTATTGTTGTGATTCTCTTGTCCATGTCCGATGGCAGTGAGCCACACTACTCTACTATTTGCTTAAGAAACCCCGAAAAATAAAAATAATAATCCCTATATTACCCCAATAAGGAATATATTTTTTATTTTTTGGGGGCTCTTAAGCAAATAGTAGCAGTTACTGTTGTCATGCCAGTCCACATTCTTGTTTTAGTTTCTACTATGCGCCCCAAGTGGTTTAAGCTTGCCTGATACTACAATGCAGCAAAAGCAGCAGCAACAACATAACCAGAGATTTGAAGAACGAGTGTTGGGTACGCCCCCCACTCAGTAATAGTTGAAAAATATTCATAATTTAGATATATTAGGACCTTAATAGTAGCCCTATTATAGACTCTTACTGTATGGGGGCAGTACCTAAAACGGGTGTCAGCTTCGACCCGGATCCTGAAACAGTAGCAGTAAGCTCCACTCTACAGTAACGCAAGCTCCAATTCTGCATACCTTCACGCTGAGCATTCTGTCCTGTATGTCACAAGAGTGTAAGTCGATATTTCTGGATCCTTGCTACAGCCCGCGGTTCTTCGTTGTTTCAAGAGTCCTTGTGTTGACTTCTTACACCCTGAACCCACCAAGTCTCTCTGAAATGCCTAGGGTTTACGGTGTAGGGCTCCTGGTATAGGGGGTAGGGTTGAGGTGCGTGGACTCCGCGTGAAGCTTAGGGTTCAGGTTCTAAGGTTTCGGTTTTATAAGAATTTAGGGATTGGAGTTTAGGGCGTGGCTAGGCTTGGGGTATAAGACTTCGGCTGTAGAGCCTTGGGGTTTAAACCTTAAACAATAAGCCCCTAAACAGTATTCCGTCACTAAACCCCATGCACACCGGTAGGCAGAGAGCTTGGGAGATGGATGTGGAACTAGCGCGGCTCCGACACTCGTCATGCAGCAGTTCTTGTATGGGCTTGAAGCAAGAATCATCAAATGTAAAGGCTTCCTTCATCTTTGTAGTGACGGTATGAAACCCTCACAGCTCTAGTGAAATCATGCAGTCCTCCATTTTCCGGTGCTGTTGCCTTACTCAAACCGTCGCGGGTCAACGCAAGTCGTGTTGAAAGCAAGCAGCGCGTAGCTTCACTCGATCATAACTCATAGCACGTATGGCCCCAATACTATAGGTGCCCAATACCAAGACTATTTTGGGGGCTCCTTATTACAATGATAGTCTAATGCACCCCAGAACCCTATTCTAGTCCCAAAGGGTCCTATGTACTGTTATGGGGAATACTTCCCTAAGTCATAAAAATGATTCCTAATATGGAAACCCTACATTCTACTTTAGCAGTACATAGGACCTATTGGGAGTTAGTATGGCCCCAATGAACAGACCTCAAGCCTTCAAGTCGGTTTTGGAGACCAGCCGGGACTGAAGCCCGAACCTGAGTTTTGGTTACTAGGGAATGGTAGAATGGTAGTAATAGTAGTTATAGTTGTACCCAATCCTCCATTCTCTACTAACCAAAGGTAAAAATTAAGAAGACAAGCAGCAGGACCATCCACACCATCCAGTCGGAGACTTGAAACTGTGTTTGGTAGGAACTCATGCTGAAATTACTGCTGCTACTGCTCGTCTAATACGACTGCTATCATATTGCTATCATGCTTTAAAAGTGCCCAGACCTTCTTGCTGCATACACCCTTAACCCCACGCCGAAGAACCCGAAAACCCTCAAACCTCAAACCATCCCAAATCGCCCAAACCCTAAACTGCCAAGTCCCACTTCATCGGGGAACCTGAACCCGAAAACGTGCGCCCTACTGTAGCCCCTACACCTCAAAATTTGGCCCGTTGAAAATTCCCATCTTCCAGCAAGGGCCCATTCCACGTGCGCTGCTCAGTGCATGGCGTGATGCTTCGGAGGAGCAGCGCTTGGGGGTTGACATGTCTCGGCGGATTAGGGTTTAGGGTTGAGGGTTTAGGGTTTAGGGTTACTGAAATGTGGGAAGATTCCTCAATGGGGGTGGGCTAGCAGCACTGGCGAGCGGCTCGGGCGCTTTTGGCAACAAGGAGCGCTCTTCGGCAAATCCTGACCCCCCCCAATTCCCAAACCCTAAATCCCAAACTCTCAACCGATTTCCTCAACCCTGTACCCTATACCCTGAACCCTAACCCTAAATTCTAAACCCAACCTTACAAGTACCCTACAGTGAACCCAAACCTTGTACCTTAAACTAGCCGAAACGCTACACCACATACAGCTATACCGTATAAACTTCCTAAACTCTAAACCCAAACGCTGTACCCTAAACATCCCTAAACCCTAACCCCTAGACCCCTAAACCCGAAGCCCTAAACTCGAAACCTTAAACCCTAATCCCTAAACCCTAAACCCTATATACCCTATACGCCCTAATCCCTAAACCCTAACCCCTAAACCCTATACACCCCAAAAACCCTAATCCCTAAGCCCTAACCCCTATAAACCCATATACCCTATAAACCCTAATCCCTAAACCCTAACCCCTAAACCCTATGTACCCTATAATCCCTAATCCCTATAAACCCTAACCCCTAAACCCTATATACCCTATAATCCCTAATCCCTAAACCCTAACCCCTAAACCCTATATACCCTATAATCTGGAGCGAGCTGCGGGCGCTGCGAATAGCAGCAGCGAGCGTGCCGAAGCGTCAGTGAGGCTGGCTCCGGAGCTGGCGCGACAGGCGCAGCGAAGGAGCCCCAGCACCGGCTCAGGTGCTGGCGCATGCGACAGGCATGCTAGCCAGTAGAGAAAGAGATGACCCTAAACCTCCAACCTCGGAACGCCCCATCCCTCTACCTGGATCTGGGGCCCTCCTGCCCTGCCCTGCTGCCTGCCTGCCTGCCTGCCCTGCGCTGCCCCGCCCTGCCTCTGCCCTGCTTGCCCTGATTTTGGGCCACCGCCAGACCAAGCCACAAACCTTGAAAAAAACCCTAACCCCGACAAAGGTCATAGACTGGGTGGGCGGGTAGGGCGAGAGCGTTGAACCTAGGCGCACACCACAACACACGTCTCGCGTGGTGGTGTGCGCGGAGCATCGACACACCTTAATCCCTAAACCCTAACCCCTAAACCCTATATACCCTATAATCCCTAATCCCTAGACCCTAACCCCTAAACCCTATATACCCTATAATCCCTAAACCCTAACCCCTAAACCCTATATACCCTATAATCCCTAATCCCTAAACCCCCAAACCCGAAACCCAGAGCCGGTAGCCTTTGACTGGAGGAGCAGCTGCTCGGGCATTACCTCAGCGGCTTGGGCAGGAAGTGATGAGGGCTTTGCAGTTGAGGGATGTTTAGGGTATAGGGTTGAGGAGGTGGGTTTAGGGTATAGGCTTTAGGATTTATGGTTTAGGGTAGAGGGTTGAGTATGTGGGTTTAGGGTTTAAGGTTTAGGGTATAGGGTTTAGGCTTTAGGATTTAGGGTGTAGGGGTTTAGGGTTTGAGGTGTAGGGTATAGGGTTTAGGCTTTAGGATTTAGGGTTTAGGGTTTAGGGTTTTGGGGTTTGGCAGTTTAGGGAGGAGCCTTAGTAGTGAGAATAGGGTTCCCTCAAAGGGTTCTTACAAAGGGTCTATAAGGGTTACGACAAAGGATCTAGAGGGGCACTATAATACAGGGGTGACAATAGTTAGAATAGGGCCCTTGCCTTTTACGGTATATACTACTGTAATGGTAATAAAGGAACCCGCAAAACCCCATTCTAAGTATTGAGGCCCCTACATTAGGGTTGTCGGTCAGGGCTTACAGAGTGCTGGGTTCCCGTTGAGGGGTTACTGTAGGGTTCAGGTTTGAGGGTTTAGGCTGAATTACATGTCTTGAGCGTGTCGCAATAGGTCGAGAACTTGGTAACACGCTGCTTCTAAGATGACGAGGGGCGGACATAACTACGGAACGGCGATACCTGATCCAAAAAGCCATGCCCCGGTTCGGCTTGGAAAAGCGATAGCCCATCGCAATACCCTGCGTTACCTAGGTTCCCCACTAGTACCCTTTTCCACTTTCTCTCTGCGGGCTCCCTTCAAGAAAGCAAATAATCGGAAAACGTGTATGCGTATCGTCAGCTGTATTGTTAAGGGGCTTCTAGGGAACCAAGTACCCCTGATAGTTCATCTGTGAGACAGCCTTTTCGCTTTTGCCGCCAGCTAAGCTAAGCTGAAGCCCTTGAACGTGTATCCGGGAACCCTATGCCCTAAACCCTATACTGTTACACTATCTATCAGCCAAACCCAACCTGTAGCTCTAAGCTTGAGACTTTTTTTCATGATTCTGGGGCTTTAAAGTCAAGCAGGTTCGGGAGTTCGGACCGACAGCTTGGCCTACAGTCGTGGAATTCAGGGGGCCCAAGTCTTAAGCGTTTGCTCAGAAGTCGCAAAGTCAAGCCAGTTCCAGCCATGCGCGAGACTACCACTTCAGAGGTATGATGTCCTAGAGCAGAATATATTAGGCCCGAGATGTGTGAACCCGAAGCACAAGATGTTTCCAACATCCTACAAGTCCTGAAACTCTTCCGAGGGCTGTGGCGAGAGCAGGCCAGCGACGCGGCAAAGAGCCTCGTCTGGCATTTTGTTCTGCGAAGCAAAGCTCCAAGCTCCTGGGTGCTGCAAGCTGCGAAACCCCGCAGTTTGATGAAACTTGAGGTCGGCTCATGGGTCGTCATTTTATACCGCGAACGCCTGGATTAGGCTTAAATCTGGAACCGCGAGCCCCAACATGTCGAGCCCCTGACCATCCCGAACCCCGAACCCGAACCTGTAGCGGGAAGTAGGGGTCTTCGTGTTCCGGGCTTCGGGCTTGGGGTTAGAGTCTGTATGCTCGCACAGTAAGAACTCAATCGGCACCAGCACCTTAATCCTTAATCCTTATATCTTGTCACAAACTCTTGTCCCCAAGCCCTATTACCCCCAGACCTGGTACCCCAAAACCCTCCTAAACCAACCCCTGAACCCCGAAAGCCTAAACCCCTGACGAAGAGGAGCTTGAGCATTTCAAAACATTGCTCGGGCTGCTGGGCCAACTGCCAGACGTGCCTTCAATCAAGTACGCCAAGCGTGCACATGAGTCGCTTTCCGGACCCGGTGGGTCGACTCGTAGCTCATGCTTGGGCTTCGTGATGCAGCAGCATAAGCAGGATCACAACAGCATAGAGCACCACCCCAAGCCCTTACTGCATTTGCAGCTGTCATCGTTTCTTGACACGATGGACGAGGGCGGAGATGAGTGGTGGTACATCTAGTGGCAAGCCGTTCCTTGGCGTCGCAGGGAGATACTGTCTGCTTGCGGAGAGCTGTTTGGTCGGCAGCTCACTGTAAGACGAACATCTCGTCTGTCCTATGCATACTGCCTAGCCGGTCGAGGAGACTGGCCTCCTAAAGCTGCGGAGGCCGAAGAAACTGCTGCAAGGCAAAGTTCTACCGTTGAGAGGAGAGGATTCGATGGCTCTTCTTGGATTGAAACTACACATCAGCTGCTGTGTGCCTCGGACCTCATACGTCCCGTAGCTACACGCAACAGGCGCAGCGTGCCTACTTTGGAGGAACATTAATGTTGTGCGGTCGGTTACCGGGCCAACAGGCCATTTTGGTGGCAAGCTGACTGCTGGCCAGTTCAGCCTTCAGGGTATGAAAGGTTTATGGCCTGATGAGCCGCTGGCTAGTAAGAGAAATTTGCATATGCTTCTCGAACCTATTGATTCCTCTGGCTTCGAGCACCACCAGTGCTCAAAACGCATCGGAAGCCGGAATAGATGGACAGATGGGTAGATGGGTAGATGGATAGATGGATAGATGGATGGATAGAAGGGAAAGGGAGTATTCTAGTTTCTTTATTAGCTAGTGGCTGCTGCCTTTGCATCCTCCCGGACCTTTCCGTGCACGCTGGGTCTTCGGGTTTTTGATCTTGGCACGCCCGCCCTAGACCTTAAACCTTAAAGTAGGGAAGTAGGTATGTATATATGTATGAAAAAGCGGTACGAAATTAGAACCCCAAAACGCAGCCCTAAACACCCAAACCCTAAACACCCAAACCCTAACCCCAAACCCTAAACCCTAAAGACCCTAAACCCCCAACCCCACACCCTAAACCCGAAAGACCCTAAACCCCCAACCCCAAACCTTAAACCCTAAACCCCCAACCCCAAACCCCAAACCCTAAACCCCAAACCCTAAACCCCCAACCCCAAACCCCAAACCGTAATCCCCAAACCCTAAACCCTATAAGCCCTATAAACCCTAAACCCCAAACCCCTAATCCCCAAGCCCTAAACCCTAAAAGCATCAAAAAGGAGCTTAAAACAAAAAAGAGACCCAAACCCCCGAGCCCTTTAAGGGCCCGCTTCGGATCCGAGCTGCTGTCGCTTCGCTCCGGCAACGAAGCCACCTCTAGGCAGCGTGCTCCCCTGGGCTTCTAGGTCTCCCAGCTGTAATGTATAATATGATAGTATAACATAGGATGTTGTAGATAGTAGTATGATATAGGGTATTATGGATGAGAGTATGATCTAGTACTTGATTTTGATTATAGTGCATCGTTATACATCTATCATCTAACAGCTTCCCCAGTAGCACCCTTTTGCCTGTTGCTTTCTGGGTTCCCGTACTAAAAATAGGTGCGAACAAGGGAGCCCTTATTAGTAAAAGACCCCGGGATCGCTCGCGAGTCGTTTTTGTTCGGCTTTGTCCGGGTTTTAGGTTTTGGGCTCGGGTTTAGGAGTTTAGGATTTAGGGATTCGATCGGGTTTGGGTTTAGTTTTCAGGTTTTGTTCGTTTCAGCCACTTTGATAGCATACACTCTAAAGCTTCAAGCTCTAAACCCCATAGCCTGTAACCCTAAATCCTAGGCTTTATGGGTTGAGGGTCGTCGTTCTTGCTTTTGTGGTCAAAACATCTTACAAGGCTGCTCATGGGTTACGCTGCCGATGGGGCCGTCATGGCGGTCGGTTGGATCCTAAGACCCCTGATGCCAAGCAGAAGCAAATCTCTCTCAAGAGCGTTTCCCCTTTGCGGCGGCTGCTGTGCCTTGGTCATGGGCCTGGGGTGGACCATGCAGATTTAGTGCGGTTGTCCCACAAGACGGAAGACTGAGTGGACTACGACTACGATGCTTTGGGCGAAGGGCACCATTAAACGAATCAAGCGCAGTCTCGCGCAGGCATTTGTTGCAAGCGAGGGAGTCTGCGACAGCATGTTGCGCGCGCAGTTGTGTCCAGAGTCTCTACTACCCATAGGCCCTATAGCAGCTCCTTTTTGGGGCTCATATACATTTATTATATATATATATATATAATCCTACAACGTAATCCTAGAAAAGGAACTACTATGGAGCCTCTGGATAGATCTTGTGCGAGACATGGCAGGTTCTCATCGAAGACCCGGAACTGAGCGCACCGCAAAGTTTCCATTTTTGAAATGAAAAGTTTATCGGGTTAAGGGATGTGTGGGTTTAGGGTTTAGGGACGTTTAGGGTTTAGGGTTAGAATTTAAGGATGTTTAGGGTTAATTAGAGTTTAGGGTTTAGGGATGTTTAGGGCTTAGGGTGAGGAGGGACACAGGGGGCATGGGGCAAAGGTGCGTCCTCGGCGGGAGCCAATGTCAGCAGTCCAGTTGTTCTCGATTTGCTTTGCAAGCCTAAATGCTTTGAACGAAGAGTCCTGACTCGAAACCCGTTGCACAAGACTATCCTTGCTGGGTACGCAAGATACAGTTAAATACAGCGTTGAGAAGGTCTGCTAGGGAAATTCGGTGTCCAATCGGTTTTGAGAGACATACAGGATTGAATAGGTTCTACAGACAAATATACACTTGAATAGGTTTATCTAAAGAAATACGGGTGGAATACGTGTTGCAGACTCTACAGTTGAATAACAAATAGAGACGAATACACAGTTGAATAGGATTTCTGGGGTCATGTATTCCCTATTGAAGGACTTTGGAGCCCAAGTATGAGCTACATGAGTACATGCACCCGTAGGGACAGCCTTCTGGTGCAGGCGCGCCCTGCGCGCTGAGGCATCAGTGGAGGTGCCAACATGTCGGAAGTTCGGTTGTGAGCTTCAGGGGTTTCTACACTCTACACTACACTAGCCCTGGGCCTGTGGCTCAGCATAGCATACAAGGCCCTAGAGCCTTCGGGGTTGAGTCATTATTAAACCCTGAACACTTTTTTCACCCTAAATCTCATAGTAAGCCCTTGTCCGGATTTAGAGCGATGAGCATCCTTGGAAGCCCGGCCACTCCGCAAAATAGCTCGGCTTCCTCGCGATTGTAGGGTTATCGTTCACAGGGGTATCGTGCGCACTTTGTAACTTGTTGTAGCGGGATGTAAACGGAATCATAATATGGATGCACTACTATTTCTTCTGATCACCTGGTATAGCTGTATGCAAGAACCCCAATAGCCTGGTCCCAGAGAAAATGTACAGTGTGTAGTTGCCTGCAAGGGAATAATCATGCTGCCACGACATTACATGCCGCTACATTGTCTCATCTCACTAAAGGAAAGCAAAACACGGTCGTTGTAGAATAGAGTGACAGAAGCACGTGGTAGAAGATTGAAGCTTCTGTAAAGTGAAGGCTCATGAATGTTAACAAGAAACGCGCGCGTTTACCTCATGCCCTGTCTTCTGCTGCATAAAGGTCATCACATCCCAGAGGGTCCATATATGTTACTATTATGGAACTAGGTCCCAAAAGGCCATCCTTAGAGGGTCCATATATGTTACTATTATGGAACTAGGTCCCAAAAGGCCATCCTTAGTATGGTTATGGGGACCTAGTTCCACAATAGTAGTATATGGACCATCTTGGCATCACTCTCTTCACCATTCATCTCGCCGTCTCGCTCGCAAAGAGTCGAATTTCAAGAGGTTAAAACCGTGCATCCACTACGCTCCTTTACGTTTTGTTGGTTTAATTTGGACCTTCATTTTTGTTGCTTCTCTCACTTGAGTATAGCTCATTCAGACTTCAATTTCAATGTAGAGGTACCCTGAAAGTAAACAATTTTCGCGGCTAAGGGTTTAGGTGAAATCTAGACTCCAAGCTCTAGTCTAAACCCCTCAACACTCTAATCTTTTTGTGAAGAGCTTGGTGAGTGTATATAGCGCACCTAAAGCCTATTCACGTCCTAAAGCCAAAACCCTAAGATGCCACACCCTGTATGCTGTATTGTACGGCCAACCCTAAAAAGTTGGAACATGCATGTAACAAGTGCGGTGATTTGCTATACTTTACCTTAATTAATGCACAGGGATAATGATGTTCCAAAATTTTCTGGCTTCTACAGACAGGAAGCCGAAAACCGAGCTTTGACTATAATTCTATGTACACTCTCTCTTCAGCGCCCTACACCCCATCCCCTGTAGGGAGGTCCAAGAGATGTGCTTTCCGAGAGTTTTCGTGCCCCGTAGGTTTAAACAAAAAAAATACGTTGAATCAGGTCGCCAGTACAAACACAGCAGCATAAGCACAGGTACATACATACACCTATCTGCGTACATACACATGCGCACGGTCTTGTTTGTTGTTAATCAGGCTCCATAGGGTCTGTGTTTAAAAGTTGCGCATTTCTGCGTCATGGTTGTCAGCATCTTTCGCTTGCGGGGCCAGACAACATCACTAAGACAGGGACTGGGTCGGCGAGCTCTCCGTGTCACAATGCAGCACCGTCTCGGTCGGATGCTTGGCGTCGGGGTGTTTTTTCCGGTTTTCGAAAGGCCTGCTACGTGGTCCACTACTGTAGGGTTCTCGAACGTTGATAGATTTTGCAATCCGGGTCCTGGGTCTTGAGAGCATACTGTTTGGGGTGTACAGCCTGCCTCATGTCGGGGGTATCTATCTGCGGGCCTCGAGTATGGAGGTTCGCTGTTTCCACAGGGTCAGAGACAGGCACACGAAGACACGCTTGCAACAAATGTGGTTTCATGGTTGCCCTTGTCTAGGGGCCCAATGCACCCGAAGACAGCCATCTTTGCCGAGTTACGGTCATGAGTCATAGCACGGGGCATCTTATGTAGGGGTCCCGGAAAAAAGTATCCTACCATCTAGGTCCTTTTTACTTCGACCTATACCCAGACCCAAAACCCCCAAAGCTTGCAGCCCTAGGTTCCTGAGTAGTACCCTTCTGCCCTTATTACTTCAGGGTTCCCTTATCAAAACCGAATAGCAGGAAAAAAGGTACCCTTATAATAACGGGGCTGTTCAGGAACCTAGAGCCAGAACCCTGAGCCCAAGCCTCGGAAAACATCTACCGAGGCAAGCTACTGCTTCGCCCGAGGCCAAGAATGGATTTAGGCATGGTTTCCCAGGGACTCCAATATCCCTAAATTCAAGGAATATTCCTTAAATTATAGTAGGATCCCTAATATGATTTCAGGAATATTCCTTAATTAAGGGATATTGGAGTCTCTGGTTTCGGGCCAGGCGTAGGAGTTAGGATTTTCGTCTCCCAAAGCCTCGGGAAAATACCCGCGCGTAGAGCCGCCGCTAGTGCTTTGGGGTTTAAGGTTTGGGTTTAGGGTTTAGGGCTTTCGTCTGCCAGGATACCAGATCGGTTCAAGATCGATGTCTCTACAGTTCAAGGTTCTGGCTGGGGTTTGCTCATTGTCATGTGCCGGATTTTGCAAGCAGCAGTAGCAGTAGCTAAGTAAGTAAGCAACAAAAGCCACATGTTCACGTATATATATATATATATACATATATCTACACACATGTATATTTATATATGTGTGTATATACTATGGTTCAATGTGGCTTGGAAGGGCTCTGGTGGGTTTAGGGTTTAGGGGGCACGATGTATTTCATTTCCCTGATCCCCAAGGAAGGTACAGTAGGTTTTGCAGACCCGGAAAGTTAAGGCATTTGATGACAGAGTTGTCCGGAGTATGTCCCTTAACCTTGAACTCTTGCAGAACCTGCACAAAGAGACGGTTTAGAACTTATGGTAACCGTTATAGTAACCCTTTTAAGTTATGCTTAGCCTGAGCTACCGCTGCCTGGCATTACGAAAAAACGTTGAGGAAACCTTGGCGAAGCAGAGAATACTCAGTAGAAGTACAGCGTTTTATGGTAATCTGGGAGAAGGTTTCTGGGTGTTCGTTTCAACCCTTTTCGCCCCTTACTTTTCGGGTTCATTAAGACCTAGATGCCAGTATCTACTTATGCAGTATTATTGTACATATTCTTTGGGTCAACAGGGTTCTAAGTTTAGGATGATGGGGTTTTCGTTTTCATAACAACTCCCAGCCCCCCATAATGACCATATGCTACATTCCTAAACCCCATATAAAGTCCCCAAACCCCAAAACTCCCAGGCCCTAGAAGGTGAACTCCTAATCCCCAAATCCTAAACCACTTACTATGCGGGCCTAATAATTACCTATACTTTTTTTTTTGGGGGGGGGGGAGGGGGTTCTTATCGTAATCATAGTATAATGGGACCCGAAGCCCTATTCTAATTGTTAAGGCCCCTATATTTAACCCCTAAACCTTTGCCAAGGTTGGCGCCATCAGGCCGCGAAAGCTGCTGCCAAACGCGTCCTTGCCGATCCGTATTTCGAGTTTCGGGTGGTTCGGTGTCGTAGTTAATCCAATACTGTAGTTACATAAACACGAATAGAAAATGGGAGATCATCTAATCTTGTTTCATTTCATCGAATCTGAATCTACATCTAACCTAAACCAAATCTAGTCAAATCTAACCTAATCTAGTCTAATAGAATTGCATGCCGAAATGAGGACTCCGGTGATGTCTTCTACGGTGCTTGATGCATTAGCAATCATTCCTATTGAAAGCAGCTGTAGACGAACCATTTGCTGAACTTGTTGCTTGTGTCGACACGTTTAAGCCCCACCACTATGCAATGATACACAAGGCCCTCTTGGTATGTATTTGCCGATAGAAAGTGAAATCCTAATTCCCAAATCGTAACTGACCTGTCTCGGAGCCTTTTGATGCTAGCAGACTTTTCAATTCAACCTTGGGGCGAAATCACCCTGTTGATCTCGACAGTGAACCCTACCTATAGTCTCTAGTTCCTTTTTGTTTTACCTTATGGAATCTTAACTATAAGAACGGTTACACCAAAGAAAGGAACTACAATGGAGACTATAGGTAATTCCTAGCCCCCCTACAGCCCAAACCCTTGGAGCAACTGTCAGGAGAAAGGTCCTCAACAAAACCACCCTAAACCCTGCCGTTTAATAAGCCCTGACATGTTCGGCCCTAAAACCCCAACCCCCAGCTGAGCCCCCGGCGCCCTAAACTGAAACCCGATGTTACCATTTAATTCTAGGAAGGATTTATTGGTGCTACACCTCCAGGAACCCCAATTTTCTCTGCCCGACAACTTAAAAAATCATCGAAACCTCTCTCCACAAAAAAAAAGCCTTTCAAATCGCCAGGCCGCTAACTCTAAAACCTTTTTGAGGCCTTAACGAACACCGGTAAAACCTCCCAGAGAGCCCAATACCCCTTAATTAACGAACATACCTTAAATCATAATATGAATTCGCCTATAATTTAAGGTATATTCCTTAATTAAGGGGTATTGGGCTCTCTGAGCTCATAAACCTTGAACCATCCTGAACCCCACCCTCCCACAGCCAAGGCACTGCCTTCGACATCGGTCAGCGCCACGCCGCCCAGCGGCGTGCGCGGAAAGCGCTTTGGGCCTGGTGGTCGTCGCCTGGCTGCCGCAATGTAGGGGCCTTAATGCTATACTTAGATTAGGGTTTGGGGGGTATATTGTAGTATAATTACAGTAAGGAACCCTACGGGACAATACTGCGAATTATCTAGGCTTCTGTATAAGCTTGGGTCTGGGGTTCATATACCGCAAAACCTTATTCTGACTGTTATAAGGGCCCGATGATGGGGGTCCATGGGCCCTTTTACAGGTATCCTCTCGGAGGTGGCCGAAGCTGAGCAGGGGTTTAGGTTGTCGTTGAGGTTGGAAACGGCTTCTATTCAGGTCGTGGACTGCTTGAAATTTCAGGTTGTTCCGTGATTTGGGGAAATAGAGGTCCCCCACAGCAGTCGTAACGCACCATGTAAGTATTCGATTCGCGACACCGATTCTCACAAAGTGACGTACCAACGATGTCTATGTGGCCCTGGGTTTCAACAGCCACTCCTGATGGACACAGACTAATCCTGCAACCTCATTGAAGTTTTCCCGCCGCTATGTGTTAAATCTTGTACCCGAGCCCAAACCCCGAAACCCACGAAGCCCGAAAGCATTGAGTCCTGCTTGAGTCCTGAAATTCAACCCTTGAAGCCCTGGAAGCCTAAAACCTGCAAGCCCTACTTGTAACGGTCAACCCAACACCCTAAATTCTAAAGCCATTTCAGCTATACTGGAGTATGAACCATTCAGCCCTAAAGCCCTAAACGGCACATCTTAAGGCCTACACCTGCGCCGAACCCCAAAGCTCAACCCCAAAAACCTTAAAACACTAACGCCAGAAGCCTTCCTACACCCGAAACCCTAGCGCCTACACCTAACAGTTCCCAGCCGATAGGTTTTCCAACTCCAAACAATAAGCCCTGATTCCTGAAACCCCCGAGTCGAACCAGTATAGAAAAACTGTATGAAGCCCTTCTCGGACCCCTTTGCAAAGCCATCGTAACCCATTAAAAACGCATGGACGTATAGGAACCTTAACCGCTTTAACATCTGCAAAGCCCTTCTAGCTGGGGATGTTTGTAGGAACCTCGAATGCCTGGATTCTTGGGTGCAAGTTCCAAACCCTAGACCCCCAAATCCTAAACCTTAAACGTCCCTGTAAAGCCTAAAGGACTGGCCTCCAACGCCGGGCGGAGGAGAGTTCCAGGCTGAGAAATGTTGGGCTTTTGTTTTAAGAGTTGCGGTTCTGGGGGGTTTGGAGTGTAAGGCTTCCCGTTTAGGGCTTAGAGTTGGAGTTCGCACACACCCGCCGGCCAGCCGTGGCTGTGAAGAACACATCGGGGGGCGAACGGCGCAGCCTCTTTTCCAAGCAGTTGTTCTCAGGCCTCTTCTTCTGCACACACACACCCGCCGTGGCTGTGAAGAACACGTCGCGGGGCGAACAACCACCAACGGATTGGCGTGGATAGTGGGATCGCGCTTTCTAGCCGGAGCGAATCCCACACCATGCCAGCTGCTACGCATCGTGGAAAGCAGGATGAAACGAAGGCGACGAAGCCACGACGATATTTGCGACCACCAGTAGCAGCAGCAGTCGCAGTAGCAAGGAGCAGGAGCAGTTGCAGTTGTGTAGCAGTAGCAGGAGCAGAGGAATAAAGTTGAATAGAGGAGTAGGAGTAGAGTAGGAGTAGAGCAAGAGGAGTTTAAGAGGAATAGAGTCAACATATGAGTATGAGTAGTGAGTACAGTCGTACAGTAGCAGTAGCAGCAGCATCGGCAGCAGTAGCAGGACCAGGACCGGGACCCGCGCACCGGGATCAGGAGCAGCAGGAGCAAGAGCAGTAGCCGTAGCCGTTGGCGTAGCGTGCTGCGGTTCAGCGGTATAGCAGTATAGAGCAGTATAGTAGTATATAGCGGTATGGCGATAAGCGGTATAGCGGTAGCGGTAGCAGTAGCTGCACTCGGAGTGCGGGTAGTATAGGAGTAGGAGATCCATATAGGGCTGTTGTTGTCGCAGGCTTTGTGAGGCGCAAAGCAAGCGGCTGCTGCAGCTGCTGCGGACTGCGTGACCAGGGTGCAGAAGTCTGTAGGTGGCTTCGTGGGAGTAATGTCGCGGTTGTCCCGTTTGTTGATGTTGTTAACCGATACGAATGGATTTGAGACAGCACCAAATTTGTTTAGTGGATTATTTGAGCCAGGGGTTGATGTCGAACATGTCAACTAAAGAGTTCTTGGAAATCATCGTTATTTTTCGTTCAATCCTCCCAAGTTCAGACAGAAAGCTGTAGGAGGGCCTTGTGAAACGTGCTTGGGCAAGGCGCCAGCCTAGATGCTAGTCAGGAAACAGCATTCCTGCCACTACGGCGTGGGGGCCTACAAGTCTTGCAGTTTAGGGTTTGGTAAGAGAGTCGGGTTTGAGGCTGAGGGTTGATACGTACACACACACACAATGTGTATATATATATATATATATACATATTGTGTACGCAGCCAGGTACATGCATATACATATACAGACAGCCCTGTCCTATGCACCAATGCAATAGAACGGAATAAAGCAGAACCTAACGCAATACAAGCTTTGATGCAGTCGTATATTCATACAGACATGCATGCATGCATACATGTATAATACGTTCATTCGCTCATCCATTCATTCCTTCCTTCCGTCCTTCCTTGCTTCCTTTGTTCATTATTCCTTTCATCACCTGATTCAGTCGTTCAGTCGTTCGTTGAGTCGCTCGACCGTCCATGCACTCAGTCGCTCCTTCATCCATCCAGTCATGCATTCGTTCATACATCCAGACCTGTCGATTTGCCTATATGCGCCTGTCATCAGCAAAGGACAGGTTTCAATGGAATATTGGCAATAAGGTCTAGCCGAGACCATCAAACAAGCAGATGTCCAGAGCGACGCTTGCCGCTTTTGACCCGGACTTGATGACAAGCGGAATCGTTTGGCCTGTCCTGCAGCATCGCCACGTACTATAGGGGCCTAAATAATAATTACCAATACTATTTTGGGGGTTCCTTATTATATTGACAGAAAACGGGCCCCCAAACCCAATTCTGAGTACTAAGGCCGCTATAATAGCTGAAGTGTTTGTACTTCCTCGGCGATCGTTGGTCGGTATAAGCACCAAATGACGGGTGATGTGCAAGCGGCCGGTCAGGTCCGGGCGGTTCTTACGCGATGATCCTCTCATTCCGTTCGACGACCCGAACTACCACCACAGCGTATTGGCAAATGTCTTTATGTTTCACTGTTTCCTTGCTGCAGCCACCCGAAACGATTGCGGCTGGTGTTTTGCAACAACCGTATTTGGAAGGAATCAGCGCAGAGGTCGCAGAAAAATATATCGACTCATATCTAGCCAGTTCAGGTGCCATCCTAAGACTTCGCACAGGGAATTGTCAACATCATTGGCTGGCAAGCGTTGCGAAGACATGGTGCCAATATTTTCTTTTGCTACTTCAGGATACTGTTGCGGTTGTCTTCGGCATTTTGATCTTTACAGTGTATTGGTTTAAGTGGGTCGCGACATCAGGTATTTGTTGGGAATCTTCCAAACCAATTGCAATTTGCGGTTGATGTGTTTTTGACTTCTGAAAATGGCACAAACGTGAAAGGGGTAGTTTTCAACATCCAGCGTTGCAGCCTGACACTTCTTTTCGCAACCAAAGCCATCAACACAGCACTAAGAGAATATCTCCGGAAGCCTACAATGCCCTACAAGCGCGACCCTACAATCTCAAAACCATCTTTCAATGACCCTAACCCTATAACCTGCCATCCCTTGTTCTCTACACCGGAACCTGGAACCGTCATTTGAAGCACCAGAATGTGCAGGACAACTGAAGCAGTCGATGCCTGAGCCGTCCATCAAGTTGAGAGTTTTCGGACTTTCGGCTTTATAGGTTGAGGGCTTAGCGTGATGTATTGAATTGGGTGTTTACAATCCAGCAGTTGAGGGTTCAGAGTTTTGAGTTCCGGAATCGAGTGGGTCGAACTGCATCTTCATAGCTACATTACCCACTCACAGGATTTCTCATAGCTTTTGATTTTGCAAGCTGCGGTGCGCATAACCAGGTTGTCATTCCTCGGGGTATGCTGTGCGCTTCCGGTTCCTATAGTCTGGACGCCGTGGCGTTTGAGTGTAAGGGTTTGCCTGAGCCGTACGATACGTAAAGTGTTGAAGACGGGGGATCCATGGTTTGTCATACCGGTTGTAAGTTAGCGGCCGCTGGCTGTGAATATGAATATGGGTTGGGGAATATTGGGCTTGGACTGTTGTAAAAATTAAAAACGCTTTCCGGGCTAGAGGATTCAGGGTGACAGGTTTCAAGGTTCAA